AAAGCGAAGATTCACTTAGTTATAAAATTAATCAACAAAATTCAGCCACAAGAGGTACAGAGTCATAGTGAACCATTACAAACTCTTGATTTTAAAAAATAAATGGAAATATTAACTGGCTGAAGTCTACAATTGGATTAAGTACACATGAGGTAAGTAATTTGTTTCAACCATTACAAGAAGATTCTAATTTAAACTTTCCAAAATGTCTAACAGCTGAAGCAGTAAAAAAGGTAATTCTTATAGTACAATACTGCAGTAGGCATAATCGTATGGAATTTATCCTAAACCTGATGGTATTCTAGTCCTTTTATCTTTAACTCATTTTCCTACTGGTCTCATTATTCAAAGGGAAGATAGTATTATGGAATGCATTTTCTTATCTCATATACCAAGTAAAAAATTAAAGAGGTACACAGTAAGGATTTCTGAATTAATTATTAAAGGTAGAATGAAACAATGTCCATTGGCAGGAACAGATCCAGCCAAAATTGTTGTACCTGTTTCAAATGTTGAGATTATGCCATTATGTGTGACTAATGAGGATTAGCTAAAATCTTGTAGTAACTTCTTGGGTAAAATTAATAACAAATATCACAAAGCCAGTATGTACACTAATCTTCTATGTATAGTAAAGAGCACATAAATTCCTGAGCCAGCAACATTTTTACTTATGCAAACAAGTTAGGGATGGCAGGTTATATGTCTGATAAAATAGTCAAGGTGGTCAAAATTCTGCACATATCAGTTCAAAAATCAGAATTGTATGCTATCCTTATGATATTATTACATTATTCTTAACCTCTTAACATAATTACTGATTCTTTATGTGTGGAAAGTGTTGTTGTGCATATAGAGACTGCTGAATTTGTACCTGATAACTGAGAATTAATTTTATTGTTTATACAATCACAACAGGTCATCAGAAGCAGAGATTATCATTATATATTACTCATTTTCAGTCTCATACAGGTTTGCCTGGTACATTAGCTTAAGGAAATGAGGAAATTGACCAATTACTCATAGGAAACATGTTATAAGCCTCAAAATTTTCTGAGAAACATCATGCTAATGGGAAAGGTTTAAAGAAAATAATTTTCATCATTTGTCAGCAAGCCAAAGAAATAATAAAAAATGTCCTACATATTCTCTATAAAACCAAACTCCATTGCCTTTTGTTAGTAACCCCAGGGGTACTAAAAGTGACATCTGGCAGATGAACATTTTCCACTTTGCAGAATTTGGAAAACAAAGGATATTCACCATACCATTGACACATTCTCAGGGTTTCAATGACCAACTGCTTTAAGTTCTGAAACAATTGATTGTGTAAGTACAATTTAATAGAAATCATTGCAATTATGAGGATACTGAACAAATTAAATTCTCTAATAAGGTGGAATAATTCTTTGCATATTATAATATAAAGCATGTTACTAGCATACCACATAATCCCACAGGACAAGCAGTTATAGAAAGGGCCAATCACATCTTAAAAGAGGTGCTTATTAAACAAAAAAGGAAGACTAAAAATTCCTAGGGTCAGAACAAATATTGCGTTGTTAACTCTCAATTTTCTAATTGTTGGTGAAAAAAAAACCAAAAACCAAAACAGCAGCTGAGAGACACCAAATTACTGGGGGAAAAAATAAAGCTGAGGAACTAGGCCAACTAATATACTGTAAGGATATCTTGACATTAGAATGGAAACCTATTCTAGTTTTGAGACAAGGAGTGGTTATGCTTTTGAATCTACTAGGAATGAAAAAATTATGGTTACCAACAAAACTTAAAAAAATCAGATCTGACCAGGGAAAACCTCTTAGAAATGTATGTCTTTACAAAGCAAGTAGCCCATATGATTCACAGACTGCCCCAGTTACTGATTTTTTCAAAAAATGCATGTAAACCAGCTTCAAAGTCTAGCACAAGTGATTGATCACACAGAGACTGGGTATACACAGAGAGTAGACAATACAGTCACATTTTCTCAGTATTTTGGCCAGTTGTGAACCTGTTTTAACCACTATCTACAGCCAAATTGGTTTCTAAAATGAATGCTAGCAATAGCACCAATCTACGTAGTTAAATATAAGGATTATAAAGCAGTTTGATGCCATATCATTAAGAATAACTAGAATAGTAGTTTTCTTCTTATAGCCTTATGACCTCCACAGCCATGGTCCCTTGACCAGGTTTTCTGAACCAGGCATTATAATCAATATCGTATAATTTCAGATTAGAATAGGGAAAATAACCTAATCATTCATCTGGATTACAAATGATAACAGCCTCCAATTTTTTCTTTTTTGTGTGTCAACACAACATTGTGAGAAAATGATCACAATAAAATCATGTTTTCATTGAATAAATTTTTTGCCAAAGTTGCCCTGAACCCATGAAAATTTCCATGTGTCCGTATCTTAAATGATCAAATTCCAAGTGTACCTTACCTTGTATATCTTACCAAAAATAATATTACACTAATATATTATCTGAATTATAGATAATCCTCCAATATCTACTATTTCTTGTCACTGATATTGGGTAGTTATAGCCATTCATCCAGAGAGCCAAGTTCAGCCTAATGTTGTTTCAGTATATTTTGCATCTCAGTCTGACTTTCCCTAAACCTCCAGGCAGAGTGGATCCACGGAAGATGCTTCTGTGTCCCAGGAGCTCAAGATCATTAAATTCAGATTTCGTGGCTCCAAAGCTGGGAGGATTCATCTCTGTTATTTTAGTCAGCTGGTTTGTAGTGCATTTTAAACCACAGCCCAAGGAATCAAATGCACTGGGACATTGTGAAAACAGATTTGTGAGAAAAGCAGTGAGTAAGGCTGTCAGGCATTTTTTTTTGATTTTACATAAAAGAACATGGATATTTTACCTGCTCAGTTCCTATGCTCTTCCCATAAATTCTGTGAGAAGCGCATATTTAACTGCAGGAGTCTTTGGATTTGTCAGACACCTGTGTCCATGTGTCCAATCTGAATGAACAGCAATAAATGACAAGAGAGCACAGTTTGAGCTCACTGCAGCTGTCACAAAATGAAGTACAAAGTTTAGTGAGGATCAAGATCACATAACTTGTTAGACACTGATGGCAGTTGTTGCTCATCTGGTATATTCTTCAGTTTGAGATTGGGAAATATTTTGTTCATTAATTAATTAATTAATAGTTCAAGTTACATCCCAATTGCAGACCTCTTTTCTCCCTGAGTCCACTGTATACAACTTCTTCCCCTATATCTTCCTTCCTTTTTTCTTTGAGAAAGGGGAGGTCCCCACAACACCCTGGGTACCAACACACTATGGTACATCAAGTCACTGCAGGACAAGGCACAACCTCTTCCACTGAGGCTAGACAAGGCAGCCTAGTTAGGAGAACAGGGTCCACAGTCAGACAAGAAAGTCATGAAAAGTTCTTTCTACAGTTGTTGGGAGATTCACATGAATACCAAGTTTCATATGTGCTACATATGTGCAGGGGGTGAGCGGGAAGCGACTAGGTATAGTCCCTTGAATTCTGTTTGGTTGGCTGTTCAGTCTCTGAGAGTCCACCAAGGGCCCAGGTTATTTGATTCTGTTGGTCTTCTTAGGAAGTCTCCATCCTCTCTGGGTTCCTCAATCCTTGTCCTAACTCACAAGGCTCTTTGAATTTCCTCTGATGTTTGGTCTCTACATCTGTTTTGGCCAGCTACTGGGTAGAGTCTCTCAGATGACAGTTATGCTAGGTTCCCCTCCACCCGCTATTCTCCTCCTCATATTTGGCCTGCTGGGTCTTCCAACATGCCCAGCAGCTGTAAGGTCTGACCTTTCCCTGCTGTGATCCATCTTCAGGTATACACAGCCACCTGCAATTCTGGAGGCCTGCAGCTATCAGGGACCAATAGGTGAGATTCCTAACCCCAATTTCTTGCCTCTGCCCCTCCAGGAAAACCCAGCAGGGAGTCCCTCCTATCCTGTCTCTACTTCTTGTCTCAAGGCACAACTCTGCCTGCTTCCTTGTAGTCCTGATGCTACCCATAACCTGCCCTCTCCCCCAGCAGGTCCAGAAGCTGTGAGGTCTGCCCTGTCCTTTGTGTTCCATTTTCTCTTCCATACCTCGATCAGCAATCCTGGATGTCTGCAGCCTTCAGGGACTACCAGCTTTGCTTCCATCTCTGGAGGCCTGTTGCAACCCAGGGCATCCAGAGGCCTGAAGCCATCAGTGACTATCAGCTCTCCTTGTATCCCTAGAAACTTGCTGTCACTTAGGACAAAGAGTTCTACCTGCAGTCTCAGTGGCCTGCTGTTATCAGGAGATTACCAGCTTTACCTGTATCACTGGAGTCTTCAGGAACTACCAGTCCTGCCAACACCAGAGATTGGAAGCTTCCTTAACTCACAAACTATTTCTCTGTTATGTTGGTATGTCAGTAGTTTATAAATGATAGCTGAACATGCTGATCACAAATCATTTAATGTTTTGTACTTGAAAAGTTTCTGTGTAAAATGATATATTTAATGCAAAATAAAAGAAAAATGCATATTGATTAAATGTATATTTAATTTCAATTATAGTCTGATTTAATTTTAGCACATTAATATCAGAAGAATAATTCACTTTGGATATCAATAACATGAATTGTCTTCTATCAGATTAATGATATATATTCATTACTGTCTTTTATAGGACTTTTTTTTTACTGTTTCTTTCTTGTATTTTTGTGATTTTTTTCTCAGCATATCTTATCATGTTTTCTATAATGATCAATCTGAGATAGCTCTCTTAAAGTTTCAAAAAAGTCAACTGATTTAAATATGTCTTGTATTTTAACCCAAACCTACTAGGTCCCGTAATGGATTTCTGTTGGTGATGAGTAGCCAATCACTTTCAGTGTTTTTTTATGCTTTCTCTGATGGCATTTTGTCTGTTGATTGACCCCAGGCACTCACACACATACTGACCAGGCATTTGTTCTTCATTTTCTCTCTGCTTTGCATGGTTTCCTCCAGCCCAGCCCAGCTGCTCAGAATTTATAAACCAGGCCTTTGAATTGCAATCGAACTGCATCAGACAGGCAGGGGGAGCAAGATGGAATTACAGACCCAGGTCCTCATATTTCTGTTGCTTTGGGTACATGGTAAGATATTTAAAGTATTAAAATGTTTTCAAAGTTTCATCTTTGTATAAGAAATTTGCAATATGTGCCAGTGTGCAATATTTCTTACATAATAATACTATGACATTATAAGGACATTTAAATGATAAATTATACCTGGTATTATAATCTATGTTTGTGTATGTATGTGTGTCCACTGTGTATTCATTTTTGCAGGTATTTGTGGGGACATTGTGATGACCCAGTCTCCTTCCTTTTTGGCTGTGTCAGCAAGAGAGAAGGTCACTATGAGCTGCAAGTCCAGTCAGAGTCTTTTATGGAGTAAAGACCAGAAGAACTACATGGCCTGGTACCAGCAGAAACCAGGACAGTCTCCTAAACTGCTGATCTACTATGCATCCACTAGAGCATCTGGGGTTCCTGATCGCTTCACAGGCAGTGGATCTGGGACAGATTTCACTCTGACCATCAGCAGAGTGCAGGCTGAAGACCTGGCAGATTATTACTGTCAGCAGAGTTATGATACTCCTCCCACAGTGCTTCAGCCTCCTACAGAAACTTCCTTTAAAATTTAAACAACTGTATACACGACACCCAGCCCTGGGCATGCACACTTCTCCCTTTTGCCTGAGACCTGTTGTGCCTGAAAAACTGACAAAAATGTTTACAGAGCCCAGTAAAAACTAATGTATTAAATGCCTCTTAGGTCTTTTGGTTTAAAAAGTCTATACAGCAAAATACACAGTATTATTTTTCTATTCCTTCTGTAACAATTTACCACTAACAATGCTGATGGAACATGAGCGATTTATCTTTTTACAGTTTTTACAGTTCTGTAAATTTGATATCTAATGTAAGACCCTATGGACTGAATTGGTAATATTGGTATACTGTTTGATTAGGAGTGTATAGGAAAATTTTTTTCTACTTTTTTTCTAGTTCCTAGAGGGTTTTCTTACTTCCTTAATGATATCCCTTTTCCATTTTTCCTCATTTTTCCTTTTATGAATCTTATTTGTTTTCTTTTTATTTAATTATCTTTATGTACATGTGTGCATCTGTGTGTGTGTGTGTGTGTGTGTGTGTGTGTGTGTGTGAACACCTGCAGATGAATATGTTCAGTGCCATTTTTGTGGAGGTCGGAGGACAACTAGGAATTTATTTTGTTTTTGCCAAGTGGCTTCTGGGGTCTCAGGTCTGACACTAGGCTTGGTGGCAAGTACCTTTGTCCTATGTGTAATGTTGCTTCTTCTTAAAATTCTTTATTGATATTTACTCATTTTATGCAAGTTTTATAGCAGAATGTCTTTCAAGTAAGTCATATATTTTGACTATGCCCACTAACTTTCCCCATTTGCATTTCCCTTTCATCTTGTTTCAGTGGGGCTATTTTTGACCTATCAGCAACATAACTACTGATAAAGAGACTTTAATATTTTAAGGCTTAGGCCTTTTCTGGGCAGTCTCCCAGCTACACTAACTTGACTTGTCCTTGTCAGGAGCCATAATAGGACAAGTTAATAATTAGCAGGTGATGATCCTGAAAAGGCCTGCCTTGGATTATTATATAATCTGCAACAGGTGCGTTCTTCTTTAGCAAGGCTGTAAGGGACTCATTTTTAGGAAAGATTCCTGCTATTAATATGCTTTTCCTATTACTATTAAACATATATAACAATCACTGTACATAATTAACAATCGAACATACAGAGATATACCTTAACACATTGTACTGCAACATCTTGTTATTTTTTCTAGTCTACTTCTCTCTCTGTCTGTCTCTCTCATTCTCTCTGTTTCCTTTTTCTATCTAAATGCATATATACACATATGTACATAGGTACACATACGTACACATATACACATGTATATACAAATAAACACCACACATATATACACATGCACATACACACATGTATACACATACTCACACAGATACACACTTATAGATGCATACATACATACATACATACATACATACATACATACATAAATTTTACATACAACATATTAAGGATCCAAAAAGGAGAGAAAATATAACATCTGTTGCCCTTGTTTCTGGGGCCACATATGAATCTAAAATATTTTTATCTCTTTTTCAACTGTGGAGACTGAGATACTAGATATTCCCATCCTAAATATGACCCAGTGTGACAAATGCTCTTTCTTTAGAATATCTTGTTAGTCCAGCACTGGATTTTGTAGTAAAGGATAAATAAAGTCCAGTTGCTTTTACTTCTTGCTCAGGATCACAATGTGAAAAGCACTGTTGCTTGAAAACTTTGATATTGTTGAGACTAGAAAGTGTTTCAAGAACTCTCCATTCTTTAGAATATTCAAAGAACACTTATTTTTGTCTTACAGTTTTAAAAATTGGAGTTTTTGGGAAAGAGGGAGGGAGAGAGAGAGAGAGAGAGACAGAGACAGAGACAGAGAGACAGAGACCGATAACAGAGAGAGATGGGGAGTATGAAGTTGGGTGGGTAGGGAGGAGGAAAGAATCTGACAGGAGTTGGGGAAAAGGAAGCAAGATCAAAATATATAAGTTTTTTAAAAAGAAATGGTGAAAATTGAACAAGGCAGTCATAAAATTCCTTAGGATGTGTTTGAGCTGCTCCGTGAATGGTTTTGCCAATCTTACCTACCACTGAGATGAGAGCAGGTGTCCCGCTGATTATGAGCTTTACTGAGCTGCTTTGCGTTGGGCATGATTGCATACTCAAATAATCTTCAAAGCCTGTGACCAGAAAAGGAGTCTCTAGTCCAGTTCTAAGAGATGGGGTCAGCTGCTCTCTTGCTCTGGGTGCTGATGCTATGAGTACAAAGTGAGACAGTCCAACAAAGCATTATGAGCTTCTACAGTAGCCATGCATGTTTCCCATGTCTCTGGGGGCTTGATCATTGGAATTATGACATTTAAAATTTCTTTTTAACCATCATATTTTCTCTTTTATTTCCTAATAGTTGAGTGATGCCTGTGATTTTTGCCACAGGTGTCATAAATATCACACTGAGATGGTTTAAGTATGCCTATAACTGTAGTGTTTGTGTACTTATCATTCCAGGATCTACTGGGGACACTGTACTGACCCAGTCTTCAGCTTCATTGGCTGTGTCTCTGGGACAAATGGATGCCATATCCTGCAAGTTCTGTGAGAGCGTCACTGACACACTGTACAACAGCAGTATGCAGTAGTATCAACAGAACCCTTAACAGCTTCCCATAGTCCTGATTTATGAATCATCCAGTGTATATCCTGGTGTTTTTGTCAGGTTGAGTGGTAGTTGGGCTGAGACAGATTTCATACTCATCTGTAGAAGCCAACAATGCTGCAAGCTATTACCACCATCATGGTAAGGAATTTCCTCCACAGGTCTCTAGTCTAAACAAAATACTCCTGGACTTGTTGCTCAATAAGATTCCAACTGTCACATATTTCTTTCTCTCTAAACATCTCTAGCAAACATCTTTAGGTTTCTTTAAAAAAAAAGTATACTGGCTAAATTTATGCCAACTTGATACATAAGGAGTCATCTAAGAGTAGGCAACCCTGATTAAATGCCTCCACAAGTATTGGTATATAGGCAAGCCTGTAGAGCATTTTCTTAATTAGTAAATGATGTGGGATGTCCCTATAAAATATCAGTGAAACAATCACTGAGCTTGTGGTCCTGAGTTTTATTAGACAGCAGGCTGAACCAGCCATGTGAGCAAGCTAGTACCCCTCAGTGTCCTCTGCATCAGGTCCTGCCTCCAGGTTCCTGCCCTGGCTTATTTGAATTTCTGTTCTAACCTCCTTCAGTGATGGACTATGGATGGGGAAGTATAAACCATATAAACACTTTTATCCCCAAATTGTTTTTATCATGGCATTTCATTGAAAGTGTTGTGACCTAACACTTAAAGTAAAACCTGAAATGCACAGTGTTTATACTGGTGCATATGTTTCCCTGTACATGTTATAATTAATTTCCTTTCTACATGGTGACCTCTATTTAATTTCTTAAAGAATTTGTTTTAGATTTAATAACTTTTTGATTTAGTAGGTGGCAATACTAAATATGAAGAAACATTTTCCATTCATTTAAAATAAAAGAACCTCATATACTTAGGAATGTTAGTTTTCTAACTTTCAAATACAGATTATATTCTCACCCTAATGTTTTATTTTTCACTTCATCAACTGGATTTGACTTCTAAACATTTGAGAAAAGGTCTTACTTCATAGTCCTATGAAATATAATGACCAATCTCTATTTGACCCCACGGACTACGTGTCTTTTTCCTCCTGTGTGCCGAGATTCCAGGTATATATCATCATGTTCAGATGTTTTACATTTTCAGTCGATCTTACTTTGCAAGTGATGTAATTCCAGAAGTCTGAGTATAAACAGCCACAATCCCTAGTAGTTTAGTTACTACATGCCTTTCCATCTCCAACTTGACCTTCCATGTTGTCTCAACAAGAGCTAGACATCTAAATAAAATGATCCTTCACCACAGAGACTGAGGGATACTGGAGGCTAGCATGGCCTTTGATATGCAAACACAGGTGTGTATCAATTTAGAGTACTTTGTTCCTTCTTCCAGAGACAAGAAAAATTATCTATTTCATAAGTTTCTGATTAGTGCTGACTTTTATCTAACCACCAGAAATGCTTCTATAGTCCAACTTGAGCTAAGTCTAGACACAATTTTAGACCAAGTAAGTGGATCTCTTGTATTGGGATGCTTGATGTTTTCTGGTATGTCTGTCTAACTGTCAGCATTCGCAAAAGTTACTCTTTCATACCAGTTGCTCATCTTGATCTCCCCAAAGATCAAGACTCATCAGACCAATGATAATCATGTTTAAGTGATGATTTTCTTCTTGATGGCACTTTTTAACCTGAGAGTCAAAGGTACCCTGGGGAGGGGAGACCCCACTCAAGCCACAAGAACTCATGGCCACCCAAAAGACTCAGAGACACCGATCTTGATGTAACCAGCAAGAGGTATATTTCAATCAGTGTGCTGAGGCTGAGATCCCGGTAACCCACGCAGGGGCAGAGGAGCTCGACCCCTAGCGAGGGGAGTGTTGGATATTTAAAGGAGAAAACCACAAACTAGGGTGAGTGGGGAGGGATAACTTTGGAAAGTGTCAGAGTTCAGGGAACAATCATGGAGAAAGTGCCAGCCCATTACTCAGCATATGGCAGGGTTCAAGGGACAATTTAGGGAAGTATAGGTTTTTTTTCTCAAGGTTCAATCTTATTTAACCATATCATTTACATTATCTACTTTGTGGTTAGCCAAGTTCTTGTTCTTGGAGCACAAAGCCCTAGAACTAGCCAACCTGCTCTTCTGGCTCTTTTTACTGTTAGTCTGCTAGAAGTGAAAATTCTATTAACCCTTCAAGAGGATTGTTCAAAATCATCTTTGTCATGGGAATGAGAATGTTAAGTCCATAGGTGCCTTATTCTGCAAAGTAGTGGCATACTGCTTTTCCACAGTCATGTGTGTACACAGAAATTTAAATTAGTTTCAACACATTAGCAATATACTTAGTAGCACCAATAATACAAAAGTGTTGGA